CTAGCGATCGATATTGGACGACGAACCATCCAGGAGGTCGATAAGCATGGACTCCCTCTTGGATCGAATCATTCAGACTCAACCAGAGTGGGGGGGACTAGATGATATAGAATATTATCTGTATAAAGACGAACCGATTTGGTGAGCCGGTTGAGAAGAGCGGACCGGGAGCAAACCAAGCCGAAAGGCGGGAATCCACGTGATCGAGCAGCCCAAGGCTCGACCACACAAGCGATCGAACAATCCAAGGCTTGACTGCACAGGCGATCGAGTAGCCCGATGCTCGATCAGACTGGTCGAGCTACCTATCAATCGATCAGATGAGGGATCGAACAAGCTGAGTGATCGAGCAAGTTGACCGACATAAGCCTAGACGCGTGCATAGCAGACGCGCGTGAGGATCTCTGACTGAGCTTCAGGAGAATATTTACCCCATGTGCCGGGTGGACACGTGTCGACAATGTATTGGGTGATAGCGATAACCACCTCTGACAGTGCCCAACGTCCCGCGGCACCTCTGACATGTGCGCGGCGTGTCAGAGTACGGACGGGCAGCTTGGGCAGCCCACGTAGCCTTATCCGGGCAGCTATTAGGGCAGGTATCTCACCCCAATATAAAGGGGGGTGAGCCTTTCTTCCTTAACACATTCTATTCATTCTCAAAATTCCAGTATACTCATACACATACTGACTTAAGTATCGGAGGCTCTTCACCGGACCCAACCTCCGGTGTGAGAGTTATTTGCAAGTTCTCGGCGTTCTACCGGCAAGGACAAGAATCGATCTACTCCAAACCGAACCCGGACGCTTACACTTGCATTAACCGTATAATTGACCAGGACTAATAAACCCCAGTCTTTTCATGTAAAGTCCGACATGGAATAACGACTGCTCTTGACTCTTGTTGATTGTCATTGCGTAAGAAAACATAAGAGTAAATTGTCTACGTTGGAACTTGAAGGGTATCCTGAGATCAGATGGAGTTATGGAAAGTCTTGATATCAATACCTTATGTCCAACATTTGATCCTGTTAGAATCTTACATTCAAACACGTGAGTTCAAACACGTGAGTGAAAAGCTTCGTTATCACCAAGCGGGTTCCATTACACAGTCTAATTGAATGATCAACGTTTCTCAACAACATGACAGGAGTCCCAACCTTTAAGTGCAATTCATGATTTGGAACACCAGAACATTTTATACTATTTAAGAACTCCAGAGTGTGCAGGTCATGCAAGAAATCAACACCACCATCTGATTTGAATATGAGAGAACAATATAACCACACAGATTTTGAATATGAGATTTATAGCGTGAATTACTCCTATTCTGTACTCAAGTATCTTGGTAACTTTGGGTGTATTTTGTTAAGCATTCACCAATAATAATGCTTAATTTTTATTGACATTAATATGATTCAAGTATTTTGTTAAGCATTCACCGACAAAATTTAAAAAATGACACTAAGTTGGCGTTGTCAACAAAACAAACATTTTGTTGTCCCTCACGGAAAGGAAATATTCAGTTGACAATTTGTTGGAAAGATATATTAATCACTCAACCTGGATAAATAACTGACGTGGCCGGATTAGATAATGACGTGACATTATAAATTTTCTTTATTTCCTACGTGGCGTGATGTGTCATCCTTCTCTCCAAGTACACAACTACGCATAGATAAATAAAAATAAAAATAATCCAAAAATAAATAAATAAACAAATAATAAAAACACATCAGAAAAAATAAAATAATAATAATAATAAACAGAAAAAATAAAATAAAATCCAAAAATAAAAAATAAAAAAAAAATAGAAAAAAAATATTTCGTTCTATTTTGTCAGCTATATATTAATAAAATATTCAATTTATTTATATTTTGTTAATATATATTAAAAACTAAAAAAATATTTCGTAAATATTTCGTTTAATATAAATATATTTCACTAATATATATTAAAAAATACTAAAAAAAGAAAAATGAAGTTCATTAATAATAATAATTATATATAATTTATTATACTATCAAATATAATACTTTACATAATATTGTATTGATTTAATATATATAAGTATATTAAATATAAATATAAATTTATATTTAAATAAATTAAAATATATTTTTTTAGATATATATTTTTGTAATAAATTAAAATATATTTTTTAATATAAATTTATATTTTGTGATTTATATTTAATACTTATATATATTAAGTAAATAAAATTTTATGTAAACTACTATATTAGATAATATAATTATTTATAAATTATATATAACTATTATTATTAATAAAATTTTATATATATATATATTAGCGAATATATTTATATTTAACGAAATATTAACAAAATATTAACAAAGTATTTTTTATTTTTTTAATAATTTTTAACATGTATTAACGAATTATAAGTTTTAGAATATTTTATTAATATATAGTTTAGGAAATAGAACAAAATAAATTTTTTTGTGTTTGGATTTTTTTAATTTTTATATTTTTTTATTTTTAGTATTATTATAATTATTTTTTTTTTTTTGCTGATGTGTCTTTATATTTATTTAGTTTTGGATTTTTTTTATTTTATTTTTATTTATCTATGCGTAGTTGTGTATTTGGTGATAATGATGTCACATCTCGCCACGTATATAACTCGTACGAATCTAAAGAAAGTTATAATGTCACGTCACTACCTCATTCGGCCATGCCAGCTTTTTTATCCAAGTGGGGTGATTAATATATCTTTTACGACCAAATCGTCAACTACATGTTTCTTTTCCGCGAGGAAACAACAAAATATCTATTTTGTTGACAACGCTCAATTTAGTGTATCATTTTTAAAATTTTGCCAGCATTCACCATTATCATGTATTCACCATTTGCATATACACGACTTATATTGTGGGTAGTGAATAATTTAGATTACCTTCCAAATGTTTAGGACTAATTACATCAATGACTAATCTTTATTAAATATTTTTATGGTATTAAATAATTTTGGTGTGCTTGTCCTAAAAAAACTTATATGTCAATATATATGTTAAGTATTATTTTTTTTTTATGTCTCCAGAATAAATTATATACCTAAAATTGGATTATTAACTTTTCTTTTGTGATTTCTTAGTTTATTTAAACATATTGAGAATCAATTCAAAATCTACACTATTATTTACTTTTCTCAATGATGATTTACTTTTATTTTGTGATTCAGAAATATATTCTATCGACATCTACAATGCATTTAAAAATCAAATTTAATTATGAGAATCATTAATTATCAAGTCATATAAAATACTCATTCTATATTAAATTGATAATTAATTATCATGAATGATTTAATAAACTAAAAAGACAAACATACTAATTATATATTTGTTTCCAAAAATATTGTTGATAGCATTTCCAAAAGAAGCATTTACATTTATTATTAGTAACCTCAATTTCATCAACTCCCTCTCTATAGATATATAGATAGATAGATAGATATAGATAATTCTTTATAAAAGTTAACAAATTTATCGAGGATGACTTATTTATAATAGTCTTACCAAATTGAACATAATGGAATTCAACTACTTTTAGTTAACGGATCCAATTCAAACATTTCCATAGTTGTATCTTTTTAACCGAGAGAAAAATATAATAACATACGAGCACTAGATACGGCGTCGTTACGCGATGTAATCGTTAATCATACGTCAACTGTAGAGTTTTTATTTTAACAGCGATCCCAAAAAACCTGCATAGCGTGCGTTGAAAGGGTTTAACTGTGGACTTCACTCTTACTACTCGCCGGAGAAAATGGAGGCCGCGGAGGAGAAGGTGGTGGCCGTGATCCTTGTCGGAGGCCCAACCATAGGTGCCTATTTTAGCATTTCCTTTTTTCTTAAAATTGCTGGTAGATTGAATTTTCATTTTTGTAACCTCATCTTGCTCAGGGACAAGATTTCGGCCGCTTTCCTTCAATACACCGGAGCCATTATTCCCTCTTGCTGGCCAGCCGATGATTCATCACCCGATCTCCGCTTGCAAAAGGGTTTTTTTATTTTTATTTTTTTTAACTTTAATTTTACTTTTTCCTCAGCTAGATGAATTGATTGCCTTGAGATTTTGGGAATTCTTCAATAATTTGCAATGAAAGTTGAATTTCTGGTTCGGTGTGTGGCATTTATAGTTAGCTGCTCATGTGCAGATATCCAACCTTGTGCAAATTTTTTTAATTGGATTCTATGAGGAGAGGGAATTTGCATTGTATGTCTCTTCTATATCTAACGAGCTCCGAGTCCCTGTCAGGTCGGATCAGGCGACACTTTTTCTTTGTTCTGTTTGTTTCGTGTGGTTTTATGATGTGAAATTGTTTTGTTACTCAACCATTTAGTCGGGCATGAATTTTCGTTTTTCAGATATTTGAAAGAAGAAAAGCCACACGGTTCGGCAGGCGGTCTTTTTTACTTTAGGGATCAAATCATGGAGGACTCCCCTGTATGTATTTTTCCCTATTACATTGTGTTAATATTTTCCAAGCACATGATGCACGAGGATCCATTAGTTACAACCTAAATGGAATTGTGCATTTTTTTTGTTCTTATGCAGTCACATATTTTTCTTTTGAATTGTGACGTCTGCTGCAACTTCCCTCTTCCTAAATTGCTAGGTATCATTGACTTCTTCGTGATTCTAAGGTACTGATATACTTTCTGGACTTTGTATAACTGCACTTTTTGACGTTATGTAGAAGCACATAAAATGTATGGAGGGATTGGCACTTTGTTGGTTATTAAAGTAAGTTTCCTTCTCGATTTTGTTTTCCATTTGCTTGAGCTGGCATGTTCTGCTAGAAATTACGGCTATGTTTGGTAAACCTAGTTGATAAGCTAGCTTATAGCTTTTAAGTGAATTTTGAGCTTATAGTTGATAGCTTATGACTTATGGCTCAAAAGCTAGTGCCTAGCTTATATGATAAAAGTGTTCGGTAAAATTAGCTGAAAATAAAATTTCAATGGTCATATTTTAAACGCTATCCAAGGAAGTTTATGAGATAAGTTTGAGCTTTTTAAAAAAGCTCCTACCAAACCAAACTTATTTGAATACATGAAACTTATAAGCTAATCACATAAGCTATAAGCTAGCTTATATGTTTACCAAACACAACCTACAACTGAAATTGATGTGTATTCTTCTGTTATGTTATCTTGATGAAATACCATTTCCTTTTTATTCCCCACTTCCCTCAGCTTTGTGTGTGCTTTTGTGTCTTTGTTTTAATGGAGCAATTTTGTTTTCATTCTCCTATTTCATTTTTTAAGAATTATTTTCATGCTATAATATTGTATTTGCATATGTAGGTTTCTGCTGAATCAGCCAACCAGTTTGGTGAATTGGTTGCTGATTCAATAACCAAAGAACTGTTGCATTACACTGAGAAACCTGAAACTTTTGTACGTATACTGAGTAAAGAAGGTCATACTGCTCAGCTTATAGATGTCTGACTGTTACTTCCTTAAAAGGCTCAACCTTTACTTTCTTTTTGCAACAACAGGTTAGTGATCTGATAAACTGTGGTGTTTACGTCTTTACACCAAACATCTTTAGTGTCATCCAGGAGGTATTTATGCTTAGGGAAGGCAGAGGTTAGTGATTGTTCACCATATTGCTTCGTTTCATTTTTATGATCTATTCGTGAGACTCCACAGCACAACAATTTCCAATTTAAGGAACTGTACGGGGATGCTTGGTATAAAATGTTTTGATTTTGTTTAGCTTTTGTGGTTTGGTCTGGTTAATTTTTAAAAATGTGGTATGGTTAGTTGTTAGTGGGATTTTGTGTTTATACTAAAATAATATTTAAAATAAAATAATTAAAGTTGATTTGATGTAAAAGTAGGAGAGAGATGATGTGAAGTCATAGTTAGTTAAAATTATGTGAGTAGATGAATAGTGAATTAAAGTTATTGTATATGTAATAATTATAGAGTGGTATTATTTAATTATATTAATAATATTGAGGATAGTGGGGCTGAGTTAAAGTTGAGTTAGATTTGAGTTAAAAAAAATGATTGGTTAAAAGTGATTTCATGTCAAAATTAGCTCTACGGTACTTGTTGATTGGTTATAAGCTGTGTTATAGCATGGTCTGGAACTTATGATTACCTCTCCTATTTACTCGTAAGTATAATATCAGATTGATATTTCATTCGGTTATTTGTCATTGCAGCTGATATACGCCATGCATCTAGCTACGAATCCCAGCAATTCGCGACAAGGTACTAACCAGTACTTGTTTGCTCGTCTAAGTTCTCTTTACTCTGGTGCTTTACAAAAACAACTTCATCAAGTCCTCATGATATTGTCATTATTCATCTTCTTTTTAATTTACCTCCCTTATTGTGTATTTGAGTGAATCTCAGCTTCATTAATACCTGGGCCGATTATCTATCATCCAGGTCTCTTCCGACAGCTTTCGTTAGGTTGGACCAAGATATTCTATCTCCCCTTGCTGGTAAGAAGAAGTTGTATACATACGAGACTGTGGACTTTTGGGAACAAATCAAGACCCCAGGGTTTGTCATAAACCAATGTGCATCCTTTCTCTTTCTTTCTTTTGCCTGGGAAACTGAAATTATCCTGTCTTACTAATGACGAATTTATCAGAATGTCTATAAAATGTTCCGCGTTATATCTTGCTCACTACCGATCTTCCTCTCCACATCTTCTGGCTAGTGGGGATGGAAAAAGGAGCGCTAAAATTATTGGGGATGTCTATATTCATCCATCAGCTAAAGTACATCCAACAGCAAAGGTAATTCAATACAAATAGTTTGAAATATTGAGTGAATGGGAGAGAGGGAATTAATTTTCCTTATGTGGGTTTACAATAATTTGCCACTCATGTGTACAGATTGGACCAAATGTTGCCATTTCAGCGAATGTTCGTATAGCTGCCGGTGTAAGGCTTACAAATTGCATCGTCTTAGATGATGTAGAAATCAAGGTAAAAATATACTCCACAAAAATATATATAGGACATGATTTTATTAGATATAGTTTCAGACATTTTTTTCTCTTCCACAGGAAAATGCTTTTGTTATGCATGCTATTATCGGATGGAAGTCATCTCTTGGCAGATGGTCTCGAGTTCAGGTAGGTTTGTAATTCTGTTTCAAGTTCACAAAAATACTAATCAAAGAGCTTTTCTAACCTTCTACAGTAACATATGGATTCTTATAAACTGTTGTTGCACCATTGATTCAGGCTGATGGGGACTACACCACAAAGCTCGGAATTACTATCTTGGGTATGTGTCTTTGATAATCGACATAAGATCAAATTTTCTTCATTCCGACAATGAGACTTAATTGGTCAAGCAAATTGCATAATACAGGCGAGTCGGTTATTGTTGAAGACGAAGTGGTGGTGACCAACACAATAGTTCTTCAAAACAAGATTGTCAACTTAAGTGTGCAAGAAGAGATCATCCTATGAAGTTAAACTTACCATCAGAAAGTTAAACCGGGACACGCCATCATAATGCTGACATGATTTTGCATTTTCAGAAGTTACGTTTTATATGGAAATGAAGTTAGCTTCTAAGATATGATACAACACAGTTTTGCATCGGCCTATCGTGCAGCACTTAGAAGGCATCATCTTGTAAACTGTACCAGCGTGTTTTGTTTTGTGGTGAGAAATCATAGATCAGCTCAATTTTGCAACATGGATAGTGAACAGATACCACATTTTTGTGATCTTTAGAACATTTGAAATTGAATGCTGAGTAAGATAGTTCTTTGTTGAGGATCATTCTGAATATGTAATGATTTATAAGGAAAAGAAGACTTAACATTGTATTAGTAAATAATGATTTGCGTACTGTGTAACATGGCAAAACTCCTCATCATCGATAAGATTCTCTCAAGTTTCGTACAATTTTTAAGTAAAAAGTCGCGAAACTCCTCATCATCGATAAGATCCTCTCAGGTTTCGTACAATTTTTTAAGTAAAAAGAAGAAAAATACATTCGACAACCACCTGATATATCTTTTCTGATTGAGATATAGATTTCTTTCTTCAATGAGTACCCGCACCAAATTATATCCCGTTTTCACTGGGCAAGGGCAGCTGCATTTCCCAGACGGAGCCTCCCCATGTATCTTCCAGCAAGTTAACACTACAAACAAAACAAACCCAAGCTATACCTACCAAAAAAGCGTTGCTTGAGCTCGTTCCTTGAGAAATAATTCTGCCTCACCGCAACTTCACATCACACATTGTGATTTCTAGACGAATTCATTCCAGAAGACAAACAGTACATTAAATTAACGAGAAGAAGACGAAAACGAGAATTTGTAAGCCTGTATTTCCATAGGTGAAATCACGATATGCCCTTCAAGAGCACCGGCTCCAAAATGCTCGCTGTACCCGAGCACATCAGTCTCCTCATGCAGAAGATTCAAGGAAGTCGCTTTCGCATTCGTAATAGTTAAGCCTCTAAACATGTCAAACAAATTAACGACGGGCTCATCAGCAATAGTTTTCAAACACTCAAACCGTCCTTTCGAACAGTATGAAGAATCCCAATCACGCCTGTGCAAAATCAGTGCAAATCTGAGATCCCCAGGGCTCTGCTGTGAGTACCTTAACGGCCGAGGAACCTTAAATCCCACGACGTGCAAATCAAAAGGCACCTGTGCCGTAAGGGGAGCAAAAGACCTTGGCGGCGGCTGAACGGAAATCGGAGCCGAGCTTTTTGCAATAAACACCTGCAAGGGATAGTTCAGGTGGGCCCCGGCAAGATGGGAGAGAAGGGAAGGGCTCACGGGACGGGGGTTTGAAAACGGGTTTTTGGTCAACGTGGCGTTTGACTCAACGGTTATGTGGAAAACAACATTCTGAGGGCGATTGTCCGTAACACCCTGGCCCAGGCCCCGGCCATCGTCCCTCACGAGCCGGCGGTCGAGCATTATCTCCAGCCACCCGTTTTTCAAACTAGCGGCACCGAGAGACTGCCGACTGTGGACCGAAAAGCGTTGACCGTTTGACCCCTGCATGAAAGCTAGAGAGGGCATCGGGTAATAGTTCCCTTGGAGGGGTATCTTGTCGTAAGTTTCCCTACGGCTTGTCTGGAAGCCATTGAGGTCGGAGTAGAAGATTCTGCCATTGTCGAGATCGGTTTTGTACCGGACAATAATCTCTCGGTCGTCAAATTCGTGGCCGATGAGCTCGACGTGATACTCTTTCTCGATTATGAATTCTTGTATCGAGCTCTCGTAGTTGTATACGCGGGTGCTGTGGGAGATTGGAGATTTTTTGTCGGCCCAGGCTGTTTTGGGGTAAGAGAAGACTTCCTGGACCAAATTGCCCTCGGAGATCACCATTTGCCCATCCGGTCTGGTGAGTGGCTCGGCATCGCCGTTTGGTTTGAAAAGGTAGGCCCCACTCTCGGTGCTGGAGTACATGGCAATTTCCTCACCGACGATATTCACGTGTTTGCCATCGTCATGGGTGATTTTCTGCAGCAGGCCATGAGGGACGTTAAATGTGAGGATATGATGCTGATTGTTAATCTCGACAGTGTCGCTTTCCAAATTTGTGCAGGAATAATGGACGGGACAAGTAAGCTGCTTGGAAGGGGTGAAAAGTTTGAGATTTGCGGGTTTGGCTTTCTCACATCCGACGAACCCATTGGCAATGTAAAAAGTCTGCAAACCCATAGCAGGAACAGATGATTTCCAGTAAAGGCGGTGTTTTCCAGTAAATACATTGCTTTTATCATGGCGAAGTTCGGGAGAGATCTGGCTTTTGACACACGTCCAGTTTGAATCCAGAACCGTAACATCGGGTCTTTCGACAACCACCATCACAACCTCGTTTCGTGTCTGCTCCAGTGAGTTGAAAAGTACCACAGTCTGAACAGTGCCTTCACGAGCACTAATTGATTTATACACCGGTTGAGCATCGTATCTGGATCTTGTTTGTGCCGGTTCGAAATTTGCTGGGTTCTGATCGTTTTTTTCGTGGCGAATCCCGAGCAAGATTTGTATAGCCTTGGACATGAAAATTTGCAGGTCCTGTAAAGCTAAATGCATTCGTGTCCCATAGTCTTCAACCACATGGTCTTTCGCAGTGCCGGTTACACCATCGTGGTGCTGGAAAAGAGCCAAGTTCCGTCGAGCGGATGTTAGTTTGTACGAAAAACTTGTAGGCAACTTCTCGCATTGTGGCTTCTGGCAGTATCCTAAAAGAAAAGCCATCATCATCTCCGCTCCACGAAGTGTATGCTCCAGCACACGATCGACAGCTTTGAAGAAAGGCCTGGAGACATAATACCCACTCCAGTAATCTTGATTCCTGTCGGCGTAAGTGAAAAAATCGCCCGATAGAGAAGGAAATCCTCCAATCTCGCTGGAGCCGATTTCGTCATTGACTGAATAATTTATTCGGTCAGCCTCGTCACGCAGAGTGCGGAAATAGTCGTCCAAAGTACCAAACTTAGCTTCAGCATTGAGGCTGGTATCAGAATTGATATAATCAAATAACAGTTGATAATTCCTGAACTGAGCTTCAGCTTCATCTATGCTGATGTATCGAAAGTCATCGCCTAGGGGAACAAGGAGTGTGTTTGTTCGGTAAAGCGTTGATTTCTTCCGATACTGATCGAGTAATTTAAGTGCCCTCTCCTTCACATTTTCTTGGTCGGTCTCCACGGGATGCTCTCCCCAGGGACAACGCTCGTAAACAAAACTACGCATTCGAGCAAAGTCAAACTGGCAACAAACAGCAGGCTCGGGCCCACAGGTATGTGGAATATCGTAAGAATAGAAGGGCATCATGTGGACAAATATATCAGTTGTTTCCTCAGTATCCCAGCTCTGCCTCCATACATACTCCAGTTTCTTGTGCAATGCCAGCTCCTTCTTCAACTCATAATGTGTTCGTTGTATAAGCATATTCTCAAAACCCATACGCCGAAGAATATAAGCCATGGTGGGCGAATAGCCAAATGGATCTATTGCCCACGAATTCTTAGGGATAACACCAACAGTTTCATTCAGCCACATGTTTCCTTCAGTCATCTGAGCCAAATATACAAATATTCAAGAAAATTAGCAGATAATGCAGGTAGTTCCTCATGCATCAAATTAACAGCTAACCAGGCATAAAAATTTCTATATAAGGAAGGTTAGTGTAACATGGTATATGCATAACAAGAATAAATGCATGCTTTCATTTTATCCTCATTATATGAAACTGCCCGATAGCAAAAGATGCAGGTGAAAACAACACCTTCGGACGGTATCATATCTCATGATCACTAGAAGTCCATCCTTTCCAATGTCAACAAGAAGTAGAAAACTATACACTTTAATAGAGTTTCAGGGGATTTCGGGAAAGCACATGTAGATAAAGTCTAAAAAGTAGAGTTCAAATATTTTGTCTTCACGTTGGAAATTATGACTGAATAAAACAATATAAGAAAGAGAGAAGAAATCATCGTGAAATAACTAATAATCCTATCAGGTGCTGCCATGGGGGACTATTACACCCATTCAGGCTGTTTATGTTAAATGAAAGCTGAATGAACTCAATAAATATACAAAATAAAGAAACAAATAGATTGCATATTTACCTGTTCAATGATAGCAAAATAATGTGAATTAGCCTGCGAAAGAGAAACATATACCCAGTAAGATTAAGCAGCTCAACATCAGTGTATCGAAAAAAGCAGGCCCATTTTCGGCAAAGATAAAAATTTACATACAATCCAGAATTCATCTAACCTCGTCATTCATCACCCATCCGCCTCCAACAATTTCTAGCTGCCCATTCTGTACTAAATTGATGAATGATTCTCTTTTCACATCTGAAGCATCTCTCCACCATCTCTCCAAATAAGACATCTCTTCCCATATAAACTTCCGTCTATTATCCTACAAACAACACCAAATAATGGAGTTCAAATCCACAAAATGACTCAGTTTCACCAACAGCTATTGAAATCCAGACAACTATTAAGTGACATTCACTGACTCTTTCTACAAGTAAAACTGAAACCCAAGGATGTACTGTTTTTGTTACATCATGATCTATATCGGCCTGCTAAATTACCCGATGTATCAATCAATACCATTTCTATAAATTTTATGTTTTATGTTGTCCCAGAAGCGTGAGATCCATAGTCATCAAAGATTTGCCACATCAAATGAAATCTCTACAAATTAAGAATCGATTCCCAAAAAACTACACTTAGTCCAGAGCTTAATTTCTGAAGAGATTTTACCTTGGAAAGCGTTTCAACAATGGTATCAAGGATATGCCTCGACTGCCGATCATAATACTCCTCAACGGTGAGCTTCCACCCAGGATCATTGTGCGAGTGCGGCACCACGAATACCTTCAGTTTCTCCTCATCCCACTCATTCCCCTTGTAACCCACGCGCCACCCCTGTTTCCACGGGCCGCCATCCTCGTCCAGGAACTGGATCTTATCATACAGCTGCTTGGTAGTGACATCCACAGCGGCCGCCAAAACGGTGTCGTTCGTGGACTTCTGAGGAACGGGCTTGCGGAGCCGGGTCGAGCGAGCTCGGGACGACGATGAGCGGAAATGGAGGGGTTTAGGGACCGCGGCGAATCGAAATAGGATGAAAACGAAGAAGGCGCAGGTGAAGCAGAGCCCGATTGTGAAGAAGTTCGAGAAGACGAAATCGCGGAAGGCGGCGGTGGTGCGGCGGCGCAGCTTTCGCGGGTGCTTGGGGGATGGCTTGGAGGTCGGGAGGAGGGACTGGGCCCAGCCGCCGGCGCCGCGGCGGTAGGAGAAGGGCATCGCGGCGGAGCGAGATCCGGTGAATTCGGTTAGTGTGTTGATCGGAGTTAAGGTTTGGTGCTGTGTTGAGTGGGTCGTGTGAGTGGACGAACTTCTCCTCTACGCCATTGTTTGTCGAGATATGATTCGCTGTGTCATTTTATTCAACCATTAAAAATTAATAAATAAATAAATAAATAAATAAATAAATAAATAAATAAATAAATAAATAAATAAATAAATAAATAAAAATGATTTTGAACTTTTTTGCTAAGGTGAAGAAATTATGACTTAAAAATTGCTAGGAACTCTAGGGTGCTTGACTAATGGACTGATTTTGCATGCCTATTGCGTTAATTCGATTGTTTTATACAAAATAATAATTGTGTATTGCAAATAACAATTCTAAAATGTTAATTTTTTTTAGGTACAATAAAACATGTATATATTGCTAATTAACTTTTTTTTTATGTTGTTTATTATATTATGATATTTAAACAATTTTATCAACACGGTGATTGAAAACTAGTCAGGTTACTAGTTTAATGGTTTAGTGATCGCACCAACCATTAAATCGATTAGACCAATAATTAATTAATTAATATATTTAGGTAGTTTAAAATATTTAAACTAATTAATGCTTAACTAACTTGTATATATCCATTATATTTAAATATGTATTTTTTTATATTAAAACTTAAATGAAAAAAATTCATAGACTAATTCGACTGAATGAATTTGACTAGTTCAATTGGTCGCTGAGTGGGTTTTTTTTTTTATCAATTTGTTGGCAAACAGTTCAGCCAACAATCCTCGACAAACGGATTCCCAACCCAACCGGTTGAAGTCCGATCCGATTTTTAAAACAACGTACTTAAATATAGAAGCATATAGATTTGTTTTAAAATTATGAAGATTCAAACTTAACAAAAATATTGTTGTTATATATTTTCGTGCTTATGGTAAATTAACAGTAATGTTCCCATACCTACGATAGTCAGGTGTTAATATGTCTACCGCTTATGTGGCATGCACACATTGGTGATGTTAATATGTTCAAAAAATATATCATCAATGTGTGCATGTCACATAAGTCGGTAGACATATTAACATAGTCCACCGTAGGTATGAGAGCATTACTGGTTAAATTAATATTCCACTACATTTGAGCTTCTTTGATGTTAGAAATTAAGTGCGATGCGGTTTTGATTCACAAATATTGGAGAGGATTTACAAAAATAATTGAGTTACTAATCACTATTGTCACTAACTATCTTCAAATTATTGAATGGTAACTCTATAAACGACAAGATTTAAATGTAATGAGTGGGAAATTTATTACACCATCATATTTGAAAACAATCTTATTGACTTAAAATGGCTTAATTAAGAACAACATAAATCATAAAATGTCACAACTGGAAAATAATAAGTTGAGGATAATTTACAATTTTAACAATTTATTTATTTTTAATCAAAATTTATATGAATCATGCTGTGACTGAATTATTTAAATAATATTGACCCCTTACTCAATTTTATATTCTCTATTTTTCTTGAAATTCATATTCGCATATATCAAATTATTAAACTATTCTCTCAGCATGCTTTGTTAGGATATTTTCACATTTTGTATCTTTTTGGTGCCAAAGGTCGTGATTGCTTTTGAAAAGAAGGTAACCTCTTTCAAAGAGAGACTGATATTGAAATCTTTTTTGTCATTCTTTTTTTATTTATATTCAATAAATAATGAAATGTTTTACCTTGTTTATCCTAAAGGAATGACAGACAATTTCTAAAAGACTTCTTTATGTTCGCTTGAATTTAACACTACAAAAAAATTGTTACATTCCGGCGAAAAATCATTCCAACGCAATATTCTTGTCGAAACTTCCGTTGGTGATAACGGAAGTTTCGACAAGAATATTGCGTTGGAATGACTTTTCCATTGGAATTTTATATGGAATTTAATGATTTCAATGACAGTTTTCAACAGTTATTTACCATAGAAAATTTCGTTGGAATATGCAATTTCTGTTGGAATTTTTATTTCCACCTCTGTTGAAAAATCTATCGTTTGAATCGTCACAAGAATATTACGCTGGAATGACTTTTCCATTGGAATTTTATATGGAATTTAGGGGATGCTTGGATATAAAAATTTTTGGATTTGTTTGGATTTTTTGGTTTGGTTTGGTTAATTTTGAAAAAAGTTAGATGGTTAGTTGTTAGTGGGTATATTAAAATAATATTTAAAATATAATAATTAAAGTTGATTTGATATAAAAGTATGAGAGATATGATTTGAAGTGATGATTAGTTAAATTATGTGAGTTGATGAATAGTGAATTAAGGTTGATGTGATGTGTATAAATGATTGGTTGATATTATTTAATTATAGTAACATGTTGATGATAGTGGGGTTGAGTTAAAGTTGAGTTAAAAAAGTGGTTGAGTTAAAAATGATTGGATTTTTTTGAGATAATTTTGTATCCAAGCATACTCTTAATGATTTCAATGACTGTTTTTAACAATTATTTACCGTAGAAAATTTCGTTGGAATATGCAATTTCTGTTGGAATTTTTATTTCCACCCCTGTTGAAAAATCTATCGTTTGAATCGTCAAAATCTAATACAAATTCCAATGGAAAATTCATTCCAACAGAATATTATTGATGGAATTTCCGTTGGAAATCCATTAAAATGTATTTGTATTAGAATTTTTTCGTAGGAATTTCATCATTTTGTTGTAGCGTGAATTTTACCTGCAAATGATTAACTTTGAGGTTGCCTAGTTAACTTTCATTTAATATTTACTGAACAAAAAGTATTTTTGATATTCAATTACACAGAAATGCTCACCTATCTACGGTGGGCACATGTTAATATGCCCACCGCGTAGGTGGCATGCACTCATTGGTGATGTATTTTTTTAAACATATTAACATCAGCAATGAGTACATGCCACCTACACGGTGGACATATTAATATGTGCCTACCGTAGGTAGGGGAGCATTTTCTTTCAATTACATATTCAAAATTTCTCAACTTTCTTTTCCTATATAACAAACTAACTGTATTCCTTGAACATATTTGAAAGTTTGGTAAATGTTGTAATAAATATAGTATAAAACTATCAGCCAGCTTATTACTGAGAGTTTATAAAAGTTTCTTTCAACCAACTTTTGTTAAATTAAATTGTGTGATGTAATTTGTCTGAACATAATAGAACGAAGGAAGTTTCTTTGAGCTTGATTGTTTATGAAATAATTTGTTCAAAATGAGTTATTTTGGTTAATCATAGTTAATTTTAAAAATGTAAAATGATTAATTGTTAGTGAAATTTTAAGAATATATTAAAATAATATTTAAAAAAAATTGATTAAAATTGATTTGATGTAAACGTAAGAGATAAATGATTAGAAATGATTAGAAATGGTAGGTAGTTAAAAATATTTAAGTGGATGAATTGTGAATTAAAGTTAATGTGATATGTAAGAATGATTAGTTTATATTATTTAATTATATGAATAATATTAAAGATAATGAAGTTAAGTTAAAGTTGAGTTAAATGTTGAATTCAAATAAAAATGAGTAAATTAATCCATAAACAACCAAGCTCTTAATTGAGTTTTACTTACCTGCCAGAGTATAGATGGGCCTACATTACTGGGCTTTAAAATGGCCCAACTACATGTGCGTGCACTTGCAGTTGTAGGCTAATTAGTAAACTGTTAAGAGTAAAAGTACCGGATTGCAATTTTCAAAACATTTTGCGCATCAGAGCCAAATCCTTTTTCCTGATTTCTTCGTTTGCTTGGCCTTTCTCTTCTCTCATCAGAGGACTTTGGCTACTCCGCGCGCCTCGAATCGACCCGACTCGTTTTAATCCCAATCTCTGTCAGGTAAAACCCTTGTTTTTGATGCATGATCAGGTTTTGTTCTGCTCGTTAAGTTTCCGATTTTTATTATTTACCATCTTGTGGAATTAGAGATCTGGGATTGAAAATGTTCTGGATCTGTTTAATTCAGTTTCGATCGTGCTGAAAATTGATATAGTTAGTAGTTTGTTTGGGGTTTTCGTGTTAGAATTTGATATTTTCGAAGAAAATTGGAGTATTCACAGCTCCGCAGGTTGTATAACTGATGATTTGATTCCCCATAACGTGATCGTCGTTTTTTAATTTTCATTACCCATGACGCGATTCTCGTATTCGACTGTCGCTTGTGCTAATCGGTAATCGTTTATGTGGAAGGTTGGGGCTTTGAGTGATTCAAGGCCATGTATATTTAATTTTCCGGGTTGCTAATTTTGTGCATAAGGGGGATCAATTTAGCTGGTACAAGAAGTTCGTCTAATCTTTATCACACCCCTTTTTTAGTTTGGTTTTGATTACTTGATGCCCCTTTGATCCTCGCTTTGTATGATTTAATCCCGTGTAGACTTGAGCTTTCGGGTTGCTAATCTTGTGCGTATAGCATATCAATTTTAGCTGATACATGAAGTTTTGTGTAATCTTTATCAGACGCCTTTAGAGTTTGATTTTGATTACTTGATGCCCCTTTGATCTTAGGTTTGTATGATTTATGGTCGCGTAGACTTAAGCTTTTTGGGTAGCATAATTTCATGCGTGAATGAAGAGACCCATTTTAGCTGATAAACGAAGTTAATCCAATCTTCATCGCACTCCTTTTGAGTTCTATTTTTATTACTTGATGCCCCTTCGATCCTAGCTGCAGAGTCATATTGTTTTAGCCTCTGCAATTCTCAAATGCTTCATGCATGATATTTAAAATTTCCTACATGATCTGGATTTGGTTGGTCTTAGCTTTGTATGATTTATGGCCGTGTAGACTTAAGATTTTGGGTTGCTAATTTCATGCGCAAAGAGATCCATCTTAGCTGATAAAAGAAGTTAATCCAATCATTATCGCACTCCTTTTAGAGTTTTATTTTTATTACTTGATGCCCCTTCGATACTAGCTGCAGACTCGTATTGATTTAGCCTCTGCAATGCTCATATGCTTCATGCATGATATTAAAAATTTCCTACCTGACCTGGATTTGGTTGCTTGTGTTAGTGATAATATGAATCTGAAGAATTGTGTTCAGGAATGAACAACTATTTCTATTATTGACAAGCATTTACAATAAAATTTTATAGGACACGCTATACCTAGCAGCAGAATCATATTTTATTAGCCTTCGATCCTAGCTGCAGAAGCGTGTTTTTTTAGCATGCTCAAATGCTTCATGCATGATATTAAAAATTCCTACATGACCTGGATTTGGTTGCTTTTATTAGTGATAACATGAATCTGAAGAATAATGTGTTCAGGAATGAACAACTATTTCTATTATTGACAAGCATTTACTTAAAATGTTGCAGTCTGTTCGGGAGAAAAAAGAAAAAAAGTAAAGATCGCCAAGAAATTCTAGACAAGATGCCTGCACAGAAAATTGAAACCGGCCACAACGATGTCGTGCACGACGTGTCCATGGACTACTACGGTAAGCGCGTGGCCACTGCCTCATCAGATGCCACCATAAAGATAATCGGCGTGGGCCACAACAACTCCACCTCCCAGCACTTGGCCACCCTAACTGGCCACACGGGCCCAGTCTGGCAGGTCGCTTGGGCCCACCCCAAGTTCGGCTCGGCCCTCGCCTCCTGCTCGTATGACGGCCGGGTCATCATCTGGAAGGAAGGCGCCCAAAACGATTGGACCCAGTCGCACGTGTTCGACGACCACAAGTCCTCGGTCAACTCCATCGCGTGGGCCCCACATGAGCTCGGGCTCTGCCTCGCATGCGGCTCTTCCGACGGCAACATCTCGGTTCACACGGCCCGGCCCGACGGCGGCTGGGACACCACCCGGATCGACCAGGCCCACCCGGTCGGCGTGACAGCTGTCACGTGGGCCCCAGCGCTGGCCCCGGGAGCCTTAGTGGGCCCGGGCGGGTCGGAGCCCGTCCAGAAGCTGGCGTCCGGCGGGTGTGACAACACAGTTCGGGTCTGGAAGCTGTACAATGGGAACTGGAAGATGGACTGCTTTCCAGCACTCCAAATGCATTCGGACTGGGTCCGGGATGTCTCGTGGGCCCCGAACTTGGGCCTGCCCAAGTCAACTATCGCGAGTGCTTCCCAAGATGGGTCGGTTGTGATTTGGACCGTGTTGAAGGAGGGTGACCAGTGGGAGGGTCAGGTGTTGAAGGACTTCAAGGCGCCTGTGTGGAGGGTTTCTTGGTCTCTGACCGGTAATTTGCTGGCGGTGGCTTCGGGGGATAAGGATGTCACGCTGTGGAAGGAGGATGTTGACGGGGAGTGGCATGAGGTCACCACGGTTGACCAGTAAGGTTTGCAGGGAAAAAAGGGATTCATTTTTTTTTTTTCATGTTTGGCTTTTGTCGTTTTTTATTTATACATGCCTCTGCGTGCGTAAGGATTTGAAGAAGACCGTTTTTTCTATTCGTTGTAGTTGAATCCTTTCTGGTTTCTAATTGGATGATGGATGACTATGGGAATTTTTTTACCTTTTAAGGACTTGGGTGAATTTGATGGATGTTATGAGTGTGAAGTTGCTATCTGGTGTTTACACTTTTTTTGGTATGGTAGTGTTGGAAAATGGAGGAGCACTGGAGTAATGCCCGTTTATGTTCTGGTTGATCAGAAGAAGAAAGCTGAGCAACTTCTGTGCAGTAAGTTGTCGATGTTTAAACACGGTTTATGTCTTTCCTGTTTCTGTGCTTCATTCCTCTGCCAAAATGCTCATCATCTAATAATCTTCTTCTGCAGTTTGAAGTTTTTTTATTTGTCTTTTGCAACCCTTTCTTCGTAGTGAATGTGTACAAATTACAATGAATATGGGTAATATATGTATGGTTGTAAAACAGTCTGACTCGAGTTTGAGCCATTAATTGACCTGAGTCGAGCGTTTATTAATAATAATAAACAAGTTGAAATATAGAAAATTATATATAAAAAAAATTAAATATTTGTTAATTGAACTTGAGTCGACGTTTATTAATATTAACAAGTTGAAATATAGAAAATTACATATAAAAAATTTAAGTATTTGTTAGTCGACGTTTATTAATATTAACAATAGAAAATTATATATAAAAATTAAATATTTGTTAGTCACGTTTATTAATATTAACAAGTTGAATTATAGAAAATTATATATAAAAAAATTAAATTTTGGACCTTAACAAGCCAAATTCTAATCTCAATAAGACGTCATGAGATTACCAGATTTTATCTTAATTTTAACTTTTAATCTCAACAAGACGTCATGAGATTACCATATTTTACCTTGAGATTACCAAATTTTACCTTACATTTAACTTCTAATCCCAACAAGACGTCATGAGATTACCAAATTTTACCTTAAATTTAACGAATAAAGTTATGAGATTAAACACACTTATATACAAGGGCGTATTACACTAGGGCGAGCCTAGGCAATTGCCTAAGGTCAATTTTTTGTGTTAACTACACATAGTTAATATGAGTTAATTAAAATTTTATATTTAATATATGTAAAAATATAAATACAAAATTTTATTTTAAAATTTTATATAATATTTACAAAATATCATAATTGTTTTTATTTAAAATGATACACCTCACCAGTTGGATTCAACGATATTATATTAGAACATTTTTAGTACTTATACCATACAATAATCTTGATAGATAAATTTATTGTTTTTCAATTATAATTGATAAATATTTAAATTTTTATTGATAGAGAGCAGTTAGATAATTATTTTAATTTACATATACAATATGAATGTCAAATTATACATTGTCAAAATTTAAGTTATTATATATAAAAATGATAATATATACAAATGCTATTAACTTTAAAATATATTTACAATTTATGTTACCCAAACGTTTAAACTTGGAAGTTCTGGATAAAGATCCATATTTATATGGACTATTTCGAACCGTTTGAAATTAACATATAGATTTACAAAGCGTTGGGAATTGACAATGAAAAATTATGCATTTATATATAAAAGGATAATCTATAAGGAAATCTTTATAAAATAACATGAATAAAAATAATGACATTTAGGCTTTTTAAGTTAATAAATTATATTTCAAAATGACTTGGTATATTTCATAATATTAATAAAAATGCAAAATAAAATAACCAAAATAAAATAACCAGACCTCGTCATTCTTAATTTTATTTTTTAGCATCAAGTCAAATACAAATTGAATAGGGAACCCCTCAACACTCAATTGTTCCAACGATTTATTTAATTGTTAATATAATTACTTTGTGCAATAGATTTTAGAATTAATTTCTATTTTGAAACATTACATACCACAAAAAAAGGTCGTGCTTATCTTATATCGACCATCTTAAAAGTACATGAAATTTCTCATAGTAAATGAAATCAATTAACTTACAAATTATCCAAATAACAAATCTTTAGTTTTATATATTATTTTATTTGTATAGTTCATGTAAATAATATTCTCTTATACTGATTTATATTAATACTATAAGATTACCAAAATAAATTGGGCACATATATAACCACTTGCACATTATATTTTTTTTCAATTCAACGATGGTAAACAAATATTTAAAACTTTTTAGAATATTATAAAAACACATTGAAATAGTTATAAAACATTACATGATCTTTCTAATTATTTTAAAGAGTTGAAATCAAAATAAAATAAATTTTGATGAACGTTCTAAATCTTTCTATAGTTAGTTCATTGCATATTTTTTCAATTAAATATAAAATAATAATGTCCTAATTTGTATATTTGAACAATTTGTGGGTAAGTTTAAAAGAAATTGTAAAAGTAATACGAAAGAGAATATATTACAAAATTAGGAATTAGAACGAGTTTAATGGTTATAAAGCTGATTGTCTGGTTGATTAACATCAACTTCCATAGGTTAAATTTCAACACGGCATCTACTTAAAACTTTTTTGATTTTATCAATTGTTATGATTTTGTGATAATATCTTTTTCAAGATCGCATCTAAAACCACAACTAGAATGAAATTGAACTTGGATCTCAATATGTTCGAAACAAAAAAGATGGATAATTCGATCGAAAAAAACGCAAATAAAACAAAGAACAAAGGGGGTGATTGGGAGTGAATTATTTTGGTTTTGTTTTGACTTATTGAGTAAGGTGATATTTTTTTCTTCAAAACGATAAATTTTATTGATAAAACAAACACATAAATACAACTAGACAACATGACCCACATAGGGGTCCGCAGGGGCCCATACCCCTGTAGGATTAAGAGGGCATATATATGTAAAATAATAATAATAATAAAAAAAAAGAGAAAAAATGAACAGTAATGAAAAATTAAACTTAATATGCTCTTAAATGAATCTTTTATGAAATATCATTGGATTGGTAATTCATAACTCGATGATTGATTTTTGTACATCTTTTGTTTTAATTATTTTCTAAAAAAAAATGATAGTTGTATGTAATTAGTTGGATTGTTTTAATTTAGCGGTCTGACTGATTAAAATAGCTCTTAAATGGATCTATTAACTACCTTCGATATATTTTTTTTTTTAATTTTTTAATTATTTATGTTAAGAATTATGAATTCTCACTAAAATAAATTTTATCAATCAATGAACATTAATATTACAATACAATATAGTACATCAACGGCGTCTGCCCGTGGGCTATATGTGCTATATGCAATAAATGGAAATAACTGAACCGACCGAATAATATATACATATATATATATACACATATATCTATATAATATTTGTGTATATATTATAATATAATATATATACTAATAATTATAGTAAATGTGTTAGAATATCACTGAGTTGTCTCACGTTCATACATGAAAAATAGACCCACCTTATAAGTATAATGGGCTACTCCTCCTTCCATCAATTGGTTTTGGGATAGAAGCCCACTTGGGCTTCATATGGGCTTTTCCCTCTCATGTTGCGCTTCATGTT